GACTCAATGCATGTGAATTCCCGGTCTTTTCATTTCAATCAAAGAAGCAAAATTTAGAAAAAGCCTTGGCGGGGTTTTTTTTTTTTTTTTTTTTTTTTTTTTTGGTAGTACACATGAACTAGCTTTTGAGAATAAGTGATCATGGTTTAATGGCTGCTTTTCATAGCATGCGGGTACGTTCAGAAACAAATCTTTCCAAGATCATGAACAGATCAGGTACAGTCTATTCTTTTCTTTGGCTTGGACGTTACAGATAATGGGGATTCCCGGACAAAAAAGCAGGCGCCAAATGTTTCTCATGAATGTATTTCTACTGCCCGAATTAAAAGTACCGCTTTTCTTTTGAACCCTGAAGAAGCTTTGATGTGCTATCGGAGAAGTCCTCGGAAGTCTTCGATGTAAATAAATACGATAATTCTTTGGTAGGATAAGGGGGAAAAAAAAAAGGATCGATACATTGTTATTTAGATTCTTATAAAGTTAAGATTTTCATACTACTCTTTTCATATGATATAATTATAAAGTGACTTGACATTCATAACTGCATTTTATCAGTAGATTTTGTTTTTCATACGCACAATGTGATTCTCAAAATAGATAAGGACAAATTGTATCATTCTTCTATGACTATGTCACTTGATGAATTTAGTCTTTTAAGGTATATTTTTTTGAGGGCAAACAATACATTAAAATTTCCATATAGTAGTGTGGAACTTATTAAATTTACACATGTGTGAGTGCATTAAAACTAACATAATAATATTATAGGACCTAATAATTTCGTTTTAACTTTGTTTACTGTTGTACCAGAAAATACGCTTGGACACGTCAGCCAACAAGGGCACGCCATGTGGCCCCACAGGGGCTGCGTGGACGTAGGCGTTGACCGTTTAGGCCGCCGACCCCATTAACTCTCGACGTGTATATGGCTCGTCCGGGAAGGCGATTTAGCTAAGGTCGGCCAGGTTGTGGTCTGTGCCTGGACTCTGCCGCAACGGGACAGTGCCGACCGTATAAGCGTGGGACCCCCGAGATGTCTGCAGTGCAGGCATTAATTGCAAACCCTTAAACCGTCCTATGGGGGACAGAAAAGGGTTACAGGTGCGTACAGAGCTGTAATATGAGACTAATTGGCTGAGTGAACAGTTCGCAAAGTGATTAGTGGCTACGGTCTGGGCCTAGAAAGGCAGACCACTTGAGTGCTTCTGCCCACAAAGGAGACCCACCCGATGAAGGAAGCTCGGCTATAAAAGGGGCAAAGCCCCATACAGGAAAGAGGTTGGCTTCCTGAGAGAGAAAAAACAAGAGAACAACAATTGATGTAAATTGTAACAATCTCAAAAGGAATATAAAACTACAGTGGATGTAGTTCTTCATTAACAGAGTGAACCACTATAAATTTTGTGTGTTCTTCTACTTCAAGCATTCTTTCTCGTATTGCTCACAATTCTAAAAATACAACAAACACTTTATTGCATAAATTAAGTATACAGTCAATATCAAGCCGGTAATCCAACGGGATACCTAAAGGTGACCCGACTTATTTCTATTGACGAGATTTCAGCGTCAACATTTACAATGTTACAATTTGTTTTATTGTTATACATACATTGCCACTACAGTGATCATGAGTAGCCATGCTCTTTCCTAACATTTAACACCCGTTTTAAAGGACCTTAGTCTTGTCGCATTACTGTATATTAATAAATAGGATATGTGCTCACACTCACATTTTAAAAATTCAATTGTTACGTACCTCTAATATATATATATATATATATATATATATTTGAATTATAGTTGTTTCTTTATTTTGTAAGAAAAAATTATTACTGTGCTCCCGGTGAATAATTAAAAGATATAACTATAATTATCTTAATCTCCATAATGCCGCCTTTAAAAGTTCTAAATATATACGCCATTGCTTCGGTCTATGAAATATACATTTCATTGTTGACGGATGCATTTGGATCACGTTTTATGTTTTCACCATTTTGTTAGAATGACCAGGTAAAAGTTGATTCCATTATCAAAGGGTTTCGGTTATTAATGACATGCTTTTTACATGTTCACCATTTTCTAAGAAAATGATAACAAACACAAATTGAGATTGAAGTGCATGGGAGTTGAATGGTGCTAAAAGATTACTTTAGAGAGAAGAAAAATACAAGAGATGGTATAATCTATACTATTTATAAGAAGAGGGGATAGTGTACAAAATTTTTTGCTTCAACCTACTTGTGTGCTTCACCTATTTGTTTGGTTTTTGGTTTTTTATTTTTTATTTTATTTTTTTTTAATTCTACTAACTTCAATGATTTAAATTATCCTCTTTTAACTTAAATTATATCTATTGGTTTCATTTTTTAACTTTAGTTGTTTAGCTTTTTGAATTTTAACTTCTATTTGACTATTATTTAGCTTGTTATACTAATATCATTTATATATAAACAAAATTTTATACTAATATATTTATCTTTTACATTTGTACATTATTGTTATTTGCTGGCAATTATATGTTCATATTAACTAACTTTTTTTTTGGACATCACATTAACTAAACTTTGATATTCATTGTTAAACCAAAATCCATAATTTTAATGATTTTAATATATTAATATTTTTATAATTGACTAATAATATTATGCTAATATTAATATTAATATTAATATCAATTACTAGAGTCAACATTACTTTACTCTATTTTTTATTTTAATATTTTTTCTTTCATGCCTTTTCTTAATATTAATATTCTCCTTTTCCTTTAACTTTTTCAAATATTTTTGTATCAACATATAAAAAAAATATGCCAATTATTATTGTTAATTTTTTAATATACTTCTCTAATTTTAATTTTGATATTGAATCATTTTTTCATGGTTATTACTGTTAATACTTTTTTATGTCTAAAAAGAGGACGTGCCTCAGGCACGTCCCTTAATGCTAGTAGTATGAGAAAGAAGGATGCAATTTGTGCCATCAACAAATTATAGACTTGTTCAAGTCCCAAAGCTTATTTCACATGTTCTTGAAATTTTTCTTCTCGGTTGTTTTATTATATCACGATAAGAATTTCCGACAACAATATTGAAAGTATTATATATTTATGAACCTTAAATTTTAGGATAAAGTTTATAAATTCCCCCTAAACTTTGTCATGTTGATATAACTTTAAAATGTGCATATTATGCCCCTAATCTCTGTCATTTGTGTTAACATGCTCCATGAGGTTAACTCCCTTAATTTTTTTTTTTAACGAAAATGCTTATAAATGCCCCATAAACTTTGTCACTTGCATCAATATGTCCCGCGAATTTTAAAATGTACATGTTTTTACCCCTGAACTATGATATGTCTCCAACATTTTTCCCTCTATCTTGATTCTATAGTTTTTTGAATGAAAATGTTGATATGACCATTAACTATGATATGTCTTCAACTTTTTTCCATCCACCTAAACTTTAAAATGTACATGTTTTGCCTCCCAAACTAGATATTAAATTGCTAATTATCAGTTATTTTAATGGAAATGTTGAGAAGGTATTCAATAGACCTCAAATATCATAGATAATTAACAGTTTAATGGTCATATCAATATTTCCATTTAAAAAATTGATAGAATCAAGATGGAGGGGAAAACGTTTGAGACATATCATAGTTTGAGAGGCAAAACAGGTACATTTTAAAATTCATGGGGCATATTGACATAAGTGACAAAGTTTAGGGGTATTTATAACCATTTCTGTTAAAAAAAAACTTAACATAGTTAACCTCATGGGGCATGTTGATACAAGTTACAAAGTTCAGGGGCACAACATGCACATTTTAAAATTCATGGGACATGTTGACACAAATGACAAAATTTAAAGAGAATTTATAAAATTTGTCATAAATTTTATTTTAAAATTGCAAGGCAAATTTTAAGAGTGTGTTTGTTTGAAGAGAAAGACATGGAAAGAATAGTGTGAGGAGAGTGTCAATCCATTGTTTAATTGAAAGGAAAAAAATATCCCTTTAAAACCACTAATTTAAATCATTTTATTTAATAGAACTACAAATCCATCACATTTAAACTAAGAGACTAATTTACCTTTCAGAAAAATTTATTAACAAATAGTTAAAATGAACATTGCACTAGTTACACAAATAAGGATTATTTATCCTGTCAACTCTAATTCTCTCTCTAACCAGTAACTAGGGTAAAAAGATTATTAAAATTCTCTCAATCCTCCCAGAATTCTTACATTCTTCTTAGTTTACATCTTTCCAATCAAATGACGCCTAAGTTCTAGCATTGGTTTTCTGAATCATGTTAATTTAAAAAACAATGTACTTCCAGATTTTGACAATAAAATATACAATTGCGAAGTGGCATTGAAATTTAGACCCCCGTACCATAGAATACTCATTTTCTTCATTTTCCTAAAACGACGCAGTTTCGTCTTGGATGATGTAGGGAGCTGCAACTGCAATCCGTCTTGTCAGAATATGTAAACCAATGAACAACAGCCGTCAGTCAGGCAGTCAGACAAGATAAGGGTAATTTTGTCAAATCGGTCTAACACGGCAAACCGGATCATCAATAAAGTAAAGTTTTTTTTTTTTTTTTTCTTTTTAAGGGTAATGAATAATGTAAATCCACTTAACATCAATAATAATAATAATAATAATAATAAACATGTTACAGAATCATTTTCTCGACCAGTATTGCAGTTTCATTTACACACCTAATTTTATGTCTAATCCCCTCGCTCTACATATTACATATCCAACGGCCTGATGACAAAGACAGTGAAATTTCAACGGCCGAGATGCATCTTGGAGTTATTTTCGGGCTTTAATTCGGACATGGCCCCAATTGTACTGCTTTACTTACGGATATTGGGAATCTAACTGCCCGAAGAAATATCTGACTGCTGCCCGAAGTCAGCCCCAACGCTGACACGGTCAGCTTCTCCGGGCAGCTCCAAACTCCAATACACACACAACACAACACAACACTCTCTCCGTCTCTCTCATCCTAATGTGTAATGTCTTCAACTTTCTCTCTCTAGTTTAAGGAAGCACCCACATCTACATAAATGTGCGCTTCTTTTTTAACCAGGGAGCGACCGAGGAGGCCAGAGCATGAGGCCACCCACCTCCCCGGCGAAGGTGGCGCACAATAGCGGTAGTCGGCCTCGCCGTGCGCCGGTGGCGAAGTGCGCCTAGTACTGATAGAGAGAGAGAAAGTTAGAGAGGAGAAGAAGAAGAAAAAGATGGGTCAGGGACTGAGTTGCAGAGCGAGCGACGAGCATGGGCTGTTCATTGCCGTGCAGTTTGGAGATATGGAGGCCGTGGAAGCTCTGCTGGAGAGAGACCCAGCTCTTTTGCAACACACCACCGTCTACGATCGCCATTCCGCTCTTCATATCGCCGCCGCGAATGGCCAGATCGAGGTTTGTTTCCCTTTCTTTTTTCTTTTTTTTTTTCTCATTCGCTTCTTTGATCGAATTTCCTTATTTTCTTCAATATGTTATTTTTAATGTTACGGAAATGGGTTTTTTCTTCTTCTGTGTTTTTGTTTCTTCCTTGTAATCCAACTTTCTTTTTATATATCTTTTGACTGATGAGCTTCTTTCCGGGTTTCTGTATTATCCAGATTCTATCCATGCTTTTGGAACGATCTGTGAATCCAGACGTGTTAAATCGTCACAAGCAGGTTATTTTATTTTATTTTTGGAAATACCAAGCTCTGTTTAATGGTTTCATTTCTGCTTAATTCTTTCTAATTGTGAATTAATGGTGTACAGACTCCGCTTATGTTGGCTGCAATGCATGGCAAGATCTCGTGCTTGCAAAAGCTTCTTGAAGCCGGAGCTAATGTAAGTTCCCACTCGTTTTTTTCAGTGTTTTTCAAATTCTTTGTCCAAATACGGCTTCAAACTTGCAATTAATCAATGTTGGCTATCCCGATCTCTCAGATTTTGATGTTTGATTCGCTTCACGGAAGAACCTGTTTGCATTACGCTGCTTACTACGGCCATTCAAATTGCCTTCAAGCCATTCTCTCCGCTGCTCATTCGAGCCCTGTTGCCGCTTCTTGGTTAGTATTTTTTTTCCTTCCTTCCCTTTTTTGAGGATCATAATATTGCTTAGCGAGCTAATTTAGTATAAAAAATCATGTATTGGATCTTTAATTGTAGGGGATTTGCTAGATTTGTGAATGTTAGAGATGGTAAAGGAGCGACACCGTTGCACTTGGCGGCACGCCAAAGACGACCTGAATGTGTGCATATCCTGTTGGACAATGGTGCTCTTGTTTGTGCTTCAACTGGTGGATATGGGTAAATAATTCGGATTCAATTGATTCATGATTTATTTATTTATTTTTTTTTATAAAAATCAGTTTTGTTTCATGTATTGCTAAATTTGCTGTTATGTATATCATTACAGCTTTCCTGGGAGCACTCCTCTTCATTTGGCAGCTAGGGGGGGATCTCTAGATTGCATTCGAGAGCTTTTGGCTTGGGGGGCCGATCGTCTTCAAAGAGATTCATCTGGGTATGATTCTGTAATCTCAATTTCTTTGTAGAATGGAAAACCAAAGAGAAAACACTGTTTAATGTGTGATCTGTTAGAAGTTTCATTTTCTCTTGAATCTGTGAAAAGTTGAAGATTGCAAATGCACTTTTTTTTTTCGAAACTCCTTGGATTGATCTATGTCATGTGTGAACAGGAGAATCCCTTACATGGTTGCTTTGAAGCACAAAAATGGAGCATGTGCAGCCTTGCTAAATCCATCTTCGGTGGAGCCTATCGTGTGGCCATCGCCTTTGAAGTTCATCAGTGAGCTTAATCAGGAGGCTAAAGCACTGTTGGAACATGCCTTGATGGAGGCGAACAGGGAGAGGGAGAAGAACATTCTAAAGGGAACTGCATACTCTCTTGCTTCTCCATCGCATTCCGATGCAGGGGTGGATGACAATGTCTCTGAGGTAATTTCAAATCCTTGCTTTCCTGAAATATATTCGTAGATGTAAAGCTATGTTGGACACAATTTTTGTTTCTCCTCCCTACAAATTATGGAAAACAAAATTGCATCAATTTTCCTGTGGACTTGTATTTTTCTTCTTGTGACAAGCATGGGACCCCTGACCAAGTCTTTTTATGATTCTTTCCGGAGAGATCGTTCATTTGTATTCGTACTATCTTGTCTCGGCTTTGATACGCATTCTTTGGCTTTCTCCCCAACTTAAGTCGATGACTTCTTTTGAGAAAGCAATTTTAGTCCTAGTCCATTTTGAATGACTTTTATACTCAGCTCCTAAATAGTTCAATAGGAACCACATTCTGTGAGAACAGCGACCTGTCTAGATAAAGTTTAATGTATTGTCATATCAAATGTAATGGACCCAAAGTAATCATGCAAGAAATTCTCCAATGCAGGGAAGCGAGTCAGAACTATGCTGCATTTGCTTTGAGCAGGCGTGCACAATTGAAGTCCAGGATTGTGGCCATCAAATGTGTGCACAATGCACCTTAGCCCTCTGCTGCCACAAGAAGCCGAACCCTACCACCGCATGCCTAACCCCGCCGGTTTGCCCGTTTTGTCGAAGCACCATTGCTCGGTTGGTAGTTGCAAAGATCAAGAGTGAGGATGACGCCGATCAAGATGTTGGTGACGTCAGTTCCTCCAAGCTAAGGAAGATTAGGCGGTCCAGGAACTTCAGCAATGAGGGTAGCAGCAGCTTCAAGAGCTTGTCAGCAGTGGGGTCTTTCGGAAAGATTGGTGGCCGCGGCTCAGGAAGGATCGCTGCTGAGAGTGAGTGGGTTGACAAGCCATGATACAATTTGTTTGGATTTTTGCAGCCAAATCTATTCCATTTTGCAATCAAGCAAGGGCTTGCTTTCCGAGTAGTTGAAAAGGAAAGGGAAAAGTCCAAGAATTCAACGGTCCAGTGATTGATCCATTTGGTATGTATAGATAGATATCCATCTGTTATGTAGATTTACGAAATAAGCAAAGCAAGCGAGAGCTGCATGCATGCCTGCAAGCTTGGGTTGGTTTAAGGTTTTTTTTTTTTTTTTTTTTGCATGGTTCATGTTGTAATATTTGTTTACTTTAGATCGAAGGAGAATTGCTGATTTTGAGGGTCTCTCTTATACAAAATCCCAATTTGGAGGGAAAAACGGAACACGGAAAAACCTTTTCTTCTCCTAAATAGAGTCCAACATTCAAATGGCTGCTTTGAGGACACAAGAATTCTGTGAAAGAGTCAGAGTCTTGTTCTTTATTTGTTGAGGTGTAGTGTTATGTATTTTATATATATCCAAATAGAAATTTCAGAGATATACATGTGTGTATATAGATGCTGCTAAAATAGATTAAAAAAAGTCATGTTTCTTTAATTGGGTGTAAATGTGAGCGTGTCTTTGATTTATCTGCATGACTTTTGATCATTTGGGCAGTGTCCAAAGTAGAAATTGAACAATTCAGACAGATCACCAACTTGAGATTGGTGGGGACACAATGAACGTGAGCTGACATGATATTGACACGTGTAGGAGAAGTGGGGCCAATGAGTGTGTGAAAAGCCAAGAAATACGCACACTCAACCGTCTTGTATTGGGTCCATTTTAGGTTGGCCTTTAGCTTTTGGTATAATTTTTGGATGCATACTTAGTGCCAAATGAGGCTTGGCCTTTTTCTCCATCTATCATCTACGATATTGAATGATAATGCATGGGTATGGCCACTTTTTAAAGCTTTCATCTTTTTCTACTCCCTCCTTGATACGGACACGTATAATAATTGACTTATTATCAATTAAAGGTGAAGTAGGATCCTGCTGAGTTGGGCCCCTGGAGGACACCTCATTGTGTATGATCCGCACATGTGGATGATAAATGTCTCTCGCTTCCTTCGTAAATTTAAATTTTTAATTCGAGTTAAGATATAATATTTTTTAAAAATTTTTAATTGTAACACAAAAAGTTAGATGTGACATTTTTTGAGAGCTTTTAACTGTGACAGAAAAAATTAGATGTGACATTTTTTTAGAGCTTTTAACTATAGAAACTTAAAATTAAAAACTCGAATCGGTGAAATAAACGAGACCGGAGCAGTTTTTTCTTTTTCTATATGATCGGGACACGTGGATGCTCGGTTCAAATCCATTGTCATTATCAAGCTCGCTCTTTCAGGGATTATAAAGGTGTTGTTCTATGAGCTATGCTTAATATTTGATGTGCCAATTCAGTTTTCCATTATTAAAACTCAACACAAGTCTTTTACCTTGAGTTTCGTTTAAATTTACTGATAGATCCATTTTTTTATTAAGAATGGAGTCTGATTGGATCAATCACTTAAAAAACAGTGGTTATCTCTTTTTTTCTTGAATACAAATTTTCAGGGGAACAACATATCTCGAATAATCTAATTGCTCCACACCCTTTAATGTCGTTTTATTTGGTAAATAAGATATGTAGTTCAATTTTATAAAATTAATGTACGATCCTATTGAAAGAAATGATTTCTCATGTATTATTGTATCACTAATGTCATATGATATGTAGCATCAGACTATAGTTATACCATCATTAATTGGCAATATCTTTGCATGTTGCGATAGTACTATGCAACATTATTACCATCATCACACTTGATGCATGACAAAGAGTGATACTTGAGTGGATCTAGTACTGTAACGTGGCAATGTAATGAACAAGAGTGGCAAGTAATATTTAGGGATGTTCGTTTTCTATATTCGTTTATGATTCTGAATCATAATTCATAGTTCTTTACAGTGTTTTTTCTCACAAAAAATACACGTAAAATGAGAATAATTCTGAATCATGATTCTGAATACATAAACCAAACACGCTCTTAGTACTTTTTTCCCCCCTTTGCCTAAATAACAATTCAAAACAGTACTGAAAACAATATATCTTCAGATCAAATTAAAGGAAAAAAAAAGTTCTTTGATTGTCGACAAACTAAAAAATAAAATAAAACAATACCGAAACAATATATTTCAGATCGAATGAGGGGGAAAAAAAATCTTTGATTGTGGGCATCCAAACTACTGGCCAGTTAAAAATTTCGGGTGGAAAGCAACGGATTCGTCATGCATAAAAATCAAATCATCTCTCACATCAAAATTTTTCCCCTTTCAAAACCGTGGTTTTTTTTTCTTCCTTCCTCGCAGAAATAACACGTAAATAGCTTTTTTCTCTTTTTTTTTTGTTATTTTTTATATTTTAAATCCAATTGTATACTCCAAGAATTAAAGCGGTCAAAGTCAACCTAATTGCGTATTAGAAGTTTAGTATTATATTAAGCTAAAAGAAAATATCTGAGAAAGAGTCATATAAAAATTTCTCTCTACTCTTGAATCCAATCAAAAGGGTTTGAAAATTCACATGATTTCAAGGAACGTGTGATATAAGATAAGCAAAATGAGTTGCCACTAATTCTTTAATAAGAAATCTCTTTCGTAAAAGTTGAGTCACAAGCAACAATTGCAGGCTGCAGCTATCAAAAGGACCCATCCTTTTTCTTTCTTTTTATTTATTAATTTATATATAAAAGCAATATACCAATTCTTTCAAGCTTGGCAACTGTTACTTGTTTATTTGTAGAATCTGGAAAAGGTTTCACACATATTTGGTAAATTTGATTAAAATATGGTTTACCTTTGAACTAATGTGGTCAACCTTTTTTATTTATCCAGTTATAGACTTGGACCTTTTTTTTTTCTTCATACTATTCCAACTAGCACATACTTTTTTTAAACCGTCCGATCGTATCCAAACTATATCAAATCTAAAAAATATGACTATTTAACAGAAGTTGATGAATTAAGGGTCCGTTTAGTTCGCTGATTCGAGTTAAGATGTGATTTTATGTGAGAGCTTTTTACTGTAGTAAAAAAGTTAGATGTGATTGTTTGTGAGAGCTTTTTACTGTAATAAAACTCAAATTCTAAACTCGAATCAGCGAAATGAACAGGCCAAGTTTCAAAATTGTGGCTACAATGTTTTTCTTCTTTTTTTTGCCATCCTCTTTTTGAAGATTTTTTTGAGCAAATCCAGATTACCCTCCCAAGGATCAGTCATAGATAGGACCCATCACTTAGGATACCATCTTCCTTAGTACAGCACCTTACGATGGTCCAAAGTCCAGTTTCAAAAAAGTAGGACAATTTTTATTCCAAATGCAGTCCTTGGCCCAATGAGACATTGTTTTTGTCCCCTTACATTCAAATGACATGGCGTGTGCATTAATAATTCCCAATAATATCTCCTTGTCTAAGCCAAGCACTATTAATCACCCTTCAAGCAATTATGTATAATAAAATCCAGGGTATTTATGATTTGAATCCCAAAGAGATTGTATTCTAGAATTTGTCACACATTAAGAAAATGAGCTAAAATGAGCTAATGGTACGACCAAAGTGAACATAAAATAAAAGCAGTGATAATGTACTAATGTATATTATTTTTCTCAACCAAAAACATGAAACACAATCACTAACTAAACACTGAAAAAAAAAATGAAAGAAAAGAGAGTGATTGAGGGGCATGTTCAGTGGGAGGATTGTGTAGAAATGCATGATGAAAGAAGCAGAGAGATTCCACATGACCCAATGTCATGATCATCAAGTCCTGTATTTTTTTTCCTTTCCGTCTCTGTGCCTGAAAATGGGTTTGGCCTAGGAGGAGCGATGCAGCCATTGACAAACAGTGAGTTTGGTTCTGTAACAGGCTGAGCCAAAGCAAGCTCGTCCGGTCCGTAAATGGTAGGGCTTAATTGGCTCCTTCTACATTCATTTGCAGCTTTTCTCTCAACTGCAAGGAAATGGCCAAGAGATGGAGCGTTTTGGGGGATCTCGGCATCAGTGGTGTTACTTGGGCACAAAGAAAAGCACCATATTCTGGACTTGTTGCTTTTGTTGTTGCTGTTAGTCTTCTTTTCCTTAGAGGGTTCGCTTTTTCTTCCCCTAATTGATCTTCTGGACAGCTCTAGAATGCTACTAACGCCTATAAGGCTTCCAAGTGTGATGCTCCTGTCATGAAAGAAAGACCCTGTGGACTGCATTAATCAATCAAAGTTCGTTTAGTGCTTAAAGCATGGGGCAATTTCTTATTCACTCTCTTTTTTGAGTCAGATTGTAAAGATACAAATTTCTCCATTCATTTGTGCAATCAAAACGCAGTAGCTCTCTAAAGTGTATAATACCTGGTAGTGCACGTTTTTAAATCTTTGCTCTAGTTAAAATCACATCAAAGTAAAAAAGTATTTAAATTGTCGGTTTCTGATACACATAGATAGAATCCTATCGGTAACCAATTGTAGATTATCCTATTTAGTATCCAATTTTTAGTTAAGTACTTGCAACATTAGTTTTTATGATCAATTTTGATAATATTTTGAAACTGCGGTGGCTTGTAAAATAGGTTACTGATTAAATTATAGCAACAAGTGTCTACCAAGTCATCTCAAATATATTTTTTTCGTTAACGCTCAAGTATATTTAATTAGCTTTTCTTCCTTTAAGCAAATCATTTTAAGACCCAAGTGTTCAATCCTCTCTACATTGGTAACTTTCTCTTTCGTTCCATCAATAATGTCGTAGCATCATTTTCTGAAACTGGTCACCACCAGTACCAATGTCATGTTATAAAATTTACTTACATGCAAATCTGACAGCCAAAAAAAAAAAGGTTGCATAGCTCGAGAACATTATGTCAGACACATAGTGTGCGATACTGAAAGGGCCAGTCTAAACAGAGCATAATAAGATGACACCAACTTGTACAATGGTGTTTATATAACAACACGAACTGATGAACATGAGCATTATTCTTCTCACATGGAGTGTGGGAAATGGTGGACATCTCTCAAAAGGATAAAGCTTAATTATTATTATTACTACTGTTAATATTATTATTGTATTGAAACACGAAATAAAAGACAAAGCTCCAGTTTTCTAAGTAAATTGGGCTTCGAAATCATCAAGCACTGTTTGTGTTTTTGCCTTATTTTTTCATTTTCTCAGCAAAGAAAAAGCATATCTAGGCAAGAAGAGAACAAACCGAAACAAAACAAAACAATACAAAAACGTCTTTGTCTAGTACGTTCCCAACTAAATTCCAAACACTACAGTCAAAAATCAAAACCATTACAATTAAAAGAAAAGGAAAATTTTGAACTGAAGTAAATTATTAACAAAATTTTACTGACCTCTGTGTCTAAATCTGAGGAAGAATCAGTAGAACACGTTGGTGAGCCAGTGAGCAAAGTGTTGAAGGAGATTGAGCCTGAAAAATCCCGGTTTCTAGGCAACCCAACTCGTGCATTAAGTGGCTGCAGACCCAGTGGCCATCCTTCCTCCTATAATCACATTAGGAAAAAAAAAAAAAACTCATGCATTATTGATTCTGCTTTCAACGTTGTGGACAAAACTTGAACAGAGAGAGAGAGAGAGAGACCCACTAGGCAGAGAAATTGTGGGAAGAAAACATAAATGAATAGACCCACATTGGAAAATCCAGAAGGAGAAACAAAAACTTGGGTTCGAGAAGTAAGAACCCAGAAGGGAAAATCCAAAAACAATGAGACAGAAGACAAAAGATACCTGCTGAGAAAGAACCCAGAAGAGAAAATCCAAATACAATGAGACAGAAGACAAAAGATACCTGCTGAGACATGTCTTGGCTAAGTACTATTTTGTTCTGCAAGCGAACCAAGTCCAATGAGGTCACTTCATTTCACTAGCTTATCAGAAATCAGATCATATCAGATCATCAGTGAAAGAAAATATCATCTCCTCGGTGTTCTTTGTGGGCTCTTTTAACAAAAGAACTTGAAGTTTGATTGATGAATTTTTTTTTTTTTTTTTTTTTTCCTATTCTGGTTAACTATGAAAAAGAAGCAACTCTCTGCATTATATAGGGTCTATATAAATATAAGAAAACAATCAAAGTACGAACTTAACTACTAGCTAAGAGGAATCATGATTTTTGAGGATTCTTTTTTTCCCCTACTTTTTCTTGAGTGTTGTTGACTAGAAAGAGAGAACAGAATCATTTTGTTACCAAGAAAGAAGAAAATAATAAAGTAAGAATAATAAAGGTTCAGAGGTTGTCTTTTCAAATGGCAAATGACAAAGTTATCCTACTCGGATAATAGTTTGGTCACGTTAAAATCCTTCCCATACCCTTTAAATTATGGATCGTTTTACAGTAGGGTCTCTTATTAGTAATATATATTTTTTATTATTGAATCTGATTAAAATTATATAAAAAATAGACAAAACAATTTTTTTTCCTACTCTGACACCTAAAAATAAACATCTATTTTCGGTGAATATAACTCATGTCAACATACTGATGGGATTACGACCTTGACTCCATCCTCTTCTAGGTCGGGGTGGCAACACCTGAAGGTATGCTTAAAATATATGTGGATGCATCAGTTTTGAGTTTTGCCAATTATGTTGGTATTGGTGCAGTGGCTCAGGATCACTTGGGGACGGTTTTGGCAGCGACGTCTCTACATATTTCGGGTCGTTTCTCCCCTCACATTGCGGAGTGTTTAGCCATCAAGCAAGGTGTGAAATTAGCTCAAGCTCAAGGCTTTTCTGCACGATTGGTTGAATCCGATGCGTTTAATGTTGTGGTGGTGGTCCGGTCTCCTCCCGATCAGGCTTTAGGGGCCAACATTGTTCAAGACATCAAAACCGTCTTAATTCAAGCTCGTTATAGCTCAGTTTATTACACTTCTTATGAAGAGAATGATGTAACCCACACGTTAATTGGTTATGCTTTTACTTCATCTATTAATAAGTTATGGCTTGATTCTATGCCTTTTTTTATTAGTTGCATTGAATGCAAAGACATTGCTTGTGATTAATAAAAGTTTTTGTTTTCAGTTTAAAAAAATTAAAAAAAACATTCCATGTGTTGTTCATATTTCCAAGACTCACCGTAGAAATCTCTTTAAATAATTATGCTTTACCTGATTTATAACATAAAAAAATGGAACAGATTGCTGTTCTATTTGAGGGGCACAGAGGGTATTATGAGGAAACAATAAGGGAAATATGTGTTACATCGTAAGGCTGGTGAGAAGGATCCAATAAAGTGTGTAAACTGGAAAAAGGAGAGCAATTTTGCTTTGTTGGAGAGCAATAACAAACAAGCATTTGAAAGAAGTATACTTTACTTTGACTATCTTCTTGTTAGGCCCACAATTCCTCATTTTAAAAAATAAATAAAAAGTAAAATAATTAAACGGTTCCTCCTTTTGTTACCAAACCAAAACTTTTACCTGGTGGCTCCACACAAATTGACCTAGAAGAAGCTAATGACTTGCTTTCTTCCATATCAATGTCAATACGTCATCATCATCTTCTTCTTCTTCTTTTAGGATTTTTTTTTTTTGGACAAAACGTTCACCATTCTGAATTCTATCTAGTATAAATGACATGAGCAAAAAAAAAAAAAGTATAAATGATAATGAGCCAGCTGCTTCATAACATCACGGCTTTGTTGTTCTGTTTTGGCACTGTCAATTTGAATAGTACATCATTTAATTATGAGTGGTAATTCGTGATGATAGATCGTGTTTGTATCTAATCCGTTTATTAATCGTATTAGAGAATATCAATTTAAAAACGATATATTTATTAAACGTGTTAAAAATACTAACTAAAATATGATCTATTTATTAATCGTATATACCCACGTAACCTATTTAAAACAATATATTGAATAAATAATTGATACAATTATAATTTATTTAATATGATTATGATACGTTTAACAGTTTTATTGATCTATTTATCTTTATTTTTTGAAGAGAACAAGTAAAATTTATCTAAAAATTTTAAAATTCATATTATCTGTATTTAATATATCATGTAACCTTTTATATTATATCATATATAATTAATTTACAAATAACATATATAATTAATCGTGTCGATTCGGGTCACTTCGTGTTAGAAAGTCAACTCTAACTCAATACGTTTATTAATCGTGTTAATCATGTCAACCGGTTTATGACCCAAACTCATTTATAGTTAACTCAAACCCGCTAATAATATGCGGGTTGTGAGTCAACCCTTACATTTTATCGTTCAAATTCCATTTATATAGGCGAAATGACCTCTTTTTTCTTTTTCCTTTCCAATTAAGCAAAATATAATCTTTATGTAGTAAGACAGTCATATGCAGATTAAGATAAATTTAAATATTGTTTTCCTAACTATATGGGAACACAATCTTTTCCGTTATCTTATTATTTCCCTAACCATATGACCGTGACATAACCTTTTCCGTTTTGTAGTTAGCTGAGTAAAAGGATTTCAGTATTGTCCAATAAAAAAAAAAAAAACAAATTATTTAGAACTCATGTTCTAGTAGGTCTTTTTGTGTAAGTAGCTATTGGTCAAGAAGCACGTAGTAAATCATCTCAGACATGTTATAAGCCACTTTTATTGTTTTAGTTGTAGCATAACCTAACAGTAAATTTATGTCTAAATTTCCAATGTTCCGGAACTAGCATATCATCAGTAGGGGCTCAAGCTCCCACTCCAATTTTTTATTTTTAAAAATGTTACATATGTAAATGTGTATTATTATAAAATAGCCCCCACTGAGTAATCTAATAGCCCCATTAACGGATATTGATTTTGATTAAATTTATGTTTTACTTATTAGTCTCTGCTGATAAAAATTTCTAACTTTATCAGTGTTTAAGTCGACAATTCGAATCTCTTTTATTTTCAGAACCATATAAGGAAAAATTTTCAACTCGATAGGACTCATGTCCGAGTAGTCTTTTTTGTGTTTCTCCAGTCCCAACTACAACTCAGTAACTATGGACATCCGGCCAAGAAGCACGTAGGAAATCATCTCATGAGCTGCCACAAGCCTTTCCTACTTTTGAATATTTTTATCAATTTGCCTTTAAGAGGAAATAAAATTGCAATTTGCAAGTGGAATTTTACACTTTTTTCTAGTATTGAAGTACTATATTTGAATCCTCTAATTTCTAATGGAATAAATGCAACAGGTGGCTAAACTCATTGGTTTTACGCAAATGATCAGTAAGTTAATTATTTACAACACATAGTAGATATATATTTACATGATAAATCGTAAGTTTTCGTCTTCTAGATTAATTACAATAGTGTGTATACTTTCTCCTTGTATTCATCATTAGGAAATCTTGTAGGTCCGCACTCATAATCATTAAGCCCAATAACTTGCCGTGAAATTAAAGGGTGATTTACACATATAGCAAAATTTGAATATTAAAATTTAAATTCGGTAAAAATTTTGAAATACTATAAAAAAACAAAATTTTATATATTTTTACATCATTAAAATTAAAATAATGATATTATCATTATATAGTATAAAATATAATATCATAATTACTACGTTATTTTTATTATATTTGCAATATTTTAAAAAATTTATTAAATTTTAACTTAAGATGTAATTTTGTCATGTAGTGTAATTACCACACGCAGTGTCCAATTATCTTCCCCAATTGTGGCTATGTTCATTTGGGCTATCTTTTTGCTAGTCCAGTTAACTCTTACCCAATTCCACAACGTTAGCTGCCAACCTGATATTGGCCCAACAAGAAATTCAGCAGTCAACCGATAGTTACAATAATTGTCCAAAACTTTTTAGGGTAATCTTGATAAATACCCCTTAAAAATATATTAATTAAAATTTTTACTCTTTACTCTTAACTTATAACTTTTTTAATCAAATAATTACACTAACAAAAGAGTTTTTATTAATAGTAAGGAGCAAAAGTCTAGACACTCAAGGTAAATTCTCCATTTTTTAAGCTCTCTTCTGATTGGGCATTCTTGGTACAGTGGGCTTTTTTGGAGTTTATTGAGTCCGTGATACACGTTTAGGCTGTAGTAATCTTTTGGTTAACTTTTCTGTGTTCCCGTAACTGGGCCTATTTCTGTGGATGTCATTGGGCCTTTTTCAATTTCTCTGGCCTTTTTGGACATTGCTGAATATTGTTGGAGCCGGTGTCATCTTCCTCACGTTCCTCGAGAATTTTCAAAAATACAATCACAGTTGGTTATTTTACTACCATTTTGCACAAAATTTGTCTTAGTTTTTAAGATTCTAATTTATTTTGTTGTCTTTTATATTAAATTTATTTTAATTTGTTTGAAATATTTTTATTTAATTTAGTGCGACTTTATTTGCATTTATTTTATTTTTGTTTAATCTTATTTTTATATGAGTAGTATGAGAAATCTTGTGCAAAATGTCAACGATGTTAAAATGGAAAAAATTAGACCACAAATTAATTCAAAACAAATAAGTATAATTATATATAATAAAATTGAAATTAATTTAAGACCGTCGGATCAAGAGCTTGGATGGCCAAGATTCACGCATGTGTACCACGTCCAAACAAAGACATGTGTCAGGTGGGCACTATCTTAGAGATGCAACAATGGGCTGGGGCCATGGGCCGGCCCAAGCGCATCCTGACACAATGACAGGCTGGGCCGACCCAGCCCATAAATATTGGTGGGTTGGGCTGGGCCAACATATATCAGCCCATGGGCCGGCTCGACACGGCTCATGAAAAATTATGGGTCAGGCGGGGCTGGGCTGGCCCGTCGAGGCCCATATGGGCCAGCCCATCTCGGCCCATCTAGACCCATAATATCTTCATGTTTTTTTTTTCTTTTTTTAGTAATTTTGTAAACATCTTATGTATAATTATCCTGATTGTACTCTTTTTTCTTTGCCAAAGTTTTGTCCAACTGGGTTTTCCTTAGAGAGGTTTTTATTTAATGAGGCAATCGCAAATAAAATATCCCTTTTCATCTTTCCATTGACTATTCAAACTTTTATATTTGTTAACTTGTTTAAAAATTCAAAAATCAAAAATCAAAATAAAAAAATTGAAAATTGCATGCATATATGGGCTGGCCCATTTAAACCCATGATGAGCCAAGATAAGTCTTGAATGGGCCAGCCCGTTCAAGACCCATGGCA